AAAAAAAATTATGACAATACAGCACTGTAATGGAAAAATTGCTTCAGGCAATGAAACTTTCCAGCCTCAAATCATAATTTTTCTCTCAAAAATGTTTGAAGTTTGTCTAAAATCAAGCCAAAAATAAAAAATTTCAAAAAAATGATGACAATACAGCACTTTAATAGAAAAATTGCCTCAGGCAATAAAAATTTACAGCCTCAAATCATCATTTTTCTATCAAAAATGTCAAAATTTTGTCAAAAATAAGGTCAAAAATAAAAAATTTCAAAAAAAATGATGACAATACAGCACTTTAATAGAAAAATTGCCTCAGGCAATAAAACTTTCCAGCCTCAAATCATCATTTTTCTATCCAAAATGTGTAAAATTTTGGCTAAAATAAGGTCAAAAATATGAAATATCAAAAAATGATGACAATACAGCCCTCTAATAGAAAAATTGCCTCAGGCAATAACAATTTACAGTCTCAAATCATAATTTTTCTTTCAAAAATGTACGAACTTTGGCTAAAATAAAGTCAAAAATTACAATTTTTGGCCCAAAACAAAAAATCTCGTCTCAACCCGAGTTCTCAAATTTCCCTCGCCGTAACACAAGGTATTTACTGCTCGCGAAACTAACCGCAAGCCAAAAAAAAAGCATACGGTTTGAACGGATATACGCCCCGAGGGCATGCCCGCGCCGAAACCGCGATTATCAGGGCCGAGGACAAACAGAGACCGTTCCATTGTCTCGCCCCCAAAACGTTCTTCAACAGGCGCTGGAAACACGGCTTCAACTGATATTACCTTTTTCGGGGGTCAAAGAGATGTTCTCTATGTCAATAAAAGACAAAATTTCCGAACGAATCGAATGTTGAACTCAAGAACGAAAATAAATATGAGACGGGGAATGTTGGGGGGCTACAAAATGTGTCGGGACGTCAAGAATTACATATAAGATGTTTTGGTGTCAACAAAAGAGAATGGAAAATATTTATATACATATATTATTATATAGATATTCATACGTATATAATAATATTTATTTTTGTATTAGGTCACGAGACGTACGGCAGATGGAACTTCTACCTCCAACAGAAAAGCCTTTAGAAGGTAAATTCGAGGGCCAAAAAAACTGTTGGATGCTTGGCTATAGGCTCGGCGGAGACTTGGCGAACCCTGATAATACGAGAATTTTTTCTAATCTTACCTATTGCCAGCCTTCGTTTCCTTGCAATTTTGTTAGTCTTGAGTTATTGTAGCACAGAAAGGACCAAAAATTGCTCCAAAAAACAAAGACCGGTAAGTTTTATCTGCATATTCTTGCAGTAATATCAATCTGTCGGGAAAATAATGGCAAAAAAAGAGTTTCTTCCCGTCGAAAAAAGGATACAGCCGCGCGCCAAGTTTCCAGCTTCGGCAGCGGTCGCAAAGCGATGATGAGCGATTGTCCGAGGATCCGCCGTTAATTTCCCGACAGACTGGTACTGTAAAATGCCTCAAAATATGTGAAAAATGATATTAGGACCTGATCAATCTCTAACAATAAGCCTGCCCCTCGCAGTCATCTAAAGTATTGTTGACAAAAACAGTCGGAGCGCCTACTGAAACAAGGTCATGCATGTTCGGAGACGCGGTCACGACATGTTGCATCTATGTACAAAAATGCGAAAGACCATAATGCTTTATACTTAAAAAGTCAAAATTCTTTATAATGAATGCATTGTGCCAAAGGAGGCAGTCAATGCAACACTTTGGGTAGTCGTTTGGACAGTTCGATCTCCAGTTTATGGACATAAAGTTAACATTTACGGCCCAAAACCAAACTCAATGTTCATCGATCAAAAGCCAGACAACAATAAAAAATTTATGATCACAATTTATTAATTTTTCCAACGTCTTGTACTAGCATCGGTAAAAAATAAACTTTTCAGTTCCAATAATTTTGAAATTTATCGGCACCGCCACTGTCTATCATATTTAAAAACAAGCTCATTCTATCAGAAATATGGTCTACAGCTGTATTCAGTGTATTCCACCATTCCTGCTCTCATTTTGAATGCGTCTGGAACAACCCTGAAAAAGTGCGCAGTCTTCATGTAGCGGCCCGCGGCGCACAGTGCATTTTTTCTTTTTTCGCACGTGCAGACTTTTTTGAATTATTTCGCACAGTGCAAGTGTTTGCCGCTGTCGCAAAATTTGTGGCGACGCGTATGAAGAATTCTTGCACAATTTTTCGGTTGCACCATGCAAAAAAAAATCCAAGTATTTTTTCGATTGCACCGTGCAAAAAAACCCCAAATCATTTTTCGACTGCATCGTGCAAAAAAATGCTAAAGCATTTTTTAATTTCACCGTGCAAAATCACAAATAATTTGTCGACTGCACAGTGCAAAAAAAGCCTAAATTTTTCGACTGCTCCGTGCAAAAAATGCCAACTGATTTGTCGACTGCACTGTGCAAAAAAAACCTAAATTTTTCGACTGCACGGTGCAAAATCTCAAATGATTTTTCGATTGCACTGTGCAAAAAAAAATTGTAATGATTTTTCAATTGCACCGTGCAAAAAAACTCAAATGCTTTTTGGACTGCACCGTGCAAAATTCCAATTGATTTCATCGATTGCACCGTGCAAAATCTCAAATGATTTTTCGATTGCATGCAAAAAAATGCCAAATTTTTCGACTGCACCGTGCAAAAAAATGCAAATGATTTTTCGATTTCACCGTGCAAAATCTCAAATGATTTTTGGATTGCACCGTGCAAAATCTCAAATGATTTTTCGATTGCATGCAAAAAAAGTCCAAGTATTTTTTCGATTGCACCGTGCAAAATGTCACGTCGCACGGTGCGAGCGGGCTCGTGCCAAAAAGTTTGCGCGCTTTCGAAAAGCCGTCGTAAGTACCAAGTGAAAATTTTTAATCAGATTAGTCTCTGTGCGAAGAGCACGTAGAAAACCGGTGAAACTCGTAAAACTAAATTTAGTATGATATACTGAGCGCAGTAAATATGACCGTTATTTTGAGCTCCAGTTTTATTTTCGTCGTGATGATGTAAGATTCACCAAATTTCAGTGAGAAAAATGCATTTTTTCTCTTTGATTTGACAGTTTCCCGACACCAACTTGTCATTTATCTTTCGTATTTAGACTTTGAGCACTCCTCAGTTTTTACACATATTTGTTATTAATTTTGTTAATACCACCCCTGTTGGTAATTAGATATTATATTTACCGGCGGGGATGTCATTATGTCCTTCGGGTGGGCAATCGTGAAGATAGTCGAGATTGCGTTATACTATAGTATAATATCCCCAATTATGTATTTATTATATACATAATTGGGGAATGCAACTCAAGCCCGACCCAGACATTGCCTGTAGAAGTCGACGTAGATGTAATATTTGAAGACCGTTTTTTTATTATACTCTGTTTTTAGTCAGTATTTATGTTTTCCCCAAACTCACAGGGGAAGTACTCCAAGTGCGACGCTCAGATTTTTTTAAAATTTTGCACACACGTCGGGTATGGACTAAGTATCAATTCCTGAAAGTTTTAGCGCACGCTTTGCGGGCGCCGCCGAGATATCGAACCATTTTTGCCGCCGGGAGAGCACGCTAAACACGGAGAACGGTCGGAGAGAAAAACGCTTTTTGGCAATAACTTTGGCAGTTTCGTGCGGGAAATTTTGATTTTTTGTAGAAACATTATCCCTTGCGGTAGAAATAGGCACGAAACTTTTCATGCCGAAATTCGGCAAAAAGCCCTTAATTTCTGCCGACTTTCGATCAAAAAACCTCGGTTGTTTCTGCAAAGCGCGAGCTAGGATTCTCGCATATATCTTAGAAAAAATTATTCTCAATTTGTGCCAAGTTTCATCAAAATCTGAGCCGTACTTCCCCTGTTAGATGTGTAAACACAAGTTTTTGCGAAAGTTTAGAGCTCCGAGAAAGTGCCAATTGTTTTTATGCGCATACTTTAGTAATGAGAGGTAGACAGAATGGCGCTGTTACGTTCCGAGCTTACAGGTTGAAGTGCTGAAAGTGTGAGCTCGGATTTTTATGATATTAGTCGCGCCATAAAGCCCCGACATTTTTGCACGGTGCATTTTTTGACCAGTATCTGACAGGGGAAGTACCCCAAGTGCGACGCTCAGATTTTGATGAAACTTGGCACAAATTTAGAACAATGTTTTCTAAGATATATGCTAGAATCCTAACTCGCGCTTTGCAGAAACAACCGAGATTTTTAGATCAAAAGTCGGCGAAAATTTGGGACTTTATGCCGAATTTCGGTACGAAAAGTTTCATGCCTATTTCAACCGTAAAGAATAATGTTTCTACAAAAAATCAAATTTTTCCGCACAAAACTGCCAAAGTTATGGCGAAAAAGCGCTTTTCTCTCTGACCGCTCTCCACGTGCTCTCTCGGCGGCAAAAATCGTTCGATATCACGGCGCGAGCTAAAATTTTGAGGAATTGATAAGTGGGCTATGCCCAAAGTGTGCGCAAAATTTCAATGGTAGTCTGAGCGTCGCATCTCGCGTACATGTACGTATACTTACTGTTAGTAAAAATTTTCCGAGAGATATTTCTGGCCGCTTGAAAGTAGACAGCAGCATAAGAAAATCGATTTATACCGTATTTTACCTCCTTCTTCAGAAAATTGAGGTCATTACTAGCTCGGCGGTACATTGAGACCATTTCCTTGCAGGGTACGTATTTATGCACTTACAGTACATATTACCCCAAGAATGTGTTTAGTCAGCCGGTTTTATGGTATTCTTTTCTTTCTGGAGCAATTTTGATTAAACATCTACCAATTATTTGCAAAGGCCAAATACGAACCCTTATTAGCCCATTATTACTTCTTGGGAAATATGGGCATTTGCATATTCAATTACATAAAGATCGTAGATTGTTTTCGCCCATTTTCTTACTCGGGTCTATTACTTTTTATTTCTTGTTGACACACTCACACCATACTATGGGTAAAGAGCTGTTGCAGGCAATATTCGAAATGAACCTGGAATGTGTCCACTCCATTCAAATTTGCTATGAAATTTCTATTGCTTTGATTGCTGTGATCTTGAATCTACTGGTGTTGATGATTGCGACAAGGAAATGGAAGGATGAGCTTCACTCATTTTCCACTTTGGTCATTTGCACTACTTGCTCGGACATCTTTTTCACGTTCACTAATTTGTTTACTATGCAGGTGAGAAAAAGCAATGGGGATAAGTTCAACTTGACCCTGCATGGGAAGCTTTTGATGTGAGGCATCTGCGGGGGATGTCCTCGAAATGTGATGCTTATATCAGTCTATCGGGAAAAGTAACGTCGGGTCGTCGTGGCAAGATGTCTTGCCTTGTCGAAAAAAGGAAGTTTCCAGCCACGGCATGCCGTTGCAAAGCGATGATCGGCGATTCCAGGGCATGACTAACCGCCGACATTTCTCCACCATTTTCAACCGAAAAACCCTGGTTTTCGGGGTAAAAGAGCCCTTTTCAAAAGGTTGTAGCGACCTCAGTTTGCACTTAAGAATCTTGTTATTTCGTAGGCAAAAAATAATGTCGCTTAAAAATACATATTCCAAAAACCAAGTGAATGCGCCGCCTCCGCCGAAAGTTATAGCCTCCTACTTTCCTTCACGTTTCTTGAAAGACCCTGTACTTATGTTCCCGACAGATTGATGACTTGGCATGAACGGACAAAGGAAATCTTCCAAATGCGACGCTCAGATTTTAAAAAATTTTACATTCATTTCGGGAATAGACCACATATCATCTCTTGACAACTTTAGCTTGCACTTTGCAGGCACAGCCGAAATATTCAACGAACTTTGCCGCCGAGAGAGCACGCGAAACACAGAGAGCGGTCAGAGATAAACGGCAACTTTTTGCCGTAACTTTGCCAGCTGCGTTCGGAAAAAAGCATTTTTTGGGAGCGTCGCACTTGGGACACTGTAAATATCAGTCTGCCGGGAAAATAATCAGGAATTTCGATGCAACGATCGCATTGCTGAAGTGGAAAGCAATTTGGTTTTTGCCGCGACAAAATTAATTTTCTTGATGGCGGTGCAATCTTTGATGCGACAGAGTGCTCATTATTTTCCCGACAGACCAATAAGTACTTTATTTTTCTGCTTTTTGTGTTGCCCAGCTGGCAGGGGATATCAAATATTGCTTTTTCGCAACAATTTTTGTTTCTTTGCAGACAATTCAAATGCACGACAGCGGCCTCTTCTTCTTCAACAACAACCCTCTTCTCATCCACATCTCCTCCAACACCGCCATGATTCTCTCCGCCCTCTGGTTGATGGGGATTTACATTGCCATTACGAACATCGGCTTCCAAGCCTACCATCGTTACAATGTTGTGTGCAAATCGAACGTGGTCTCGGAACGGGCGGTATTTCAAAGTTTTTTGCTGATTTGCGTGGTCTGCGGAGTCTTCTGCAGCACCGTTCTGCTGACTTGGGAGCATGGTCGATTCCCGGGAAGTGAATATGAAAAGGAATTGAACAGGAGTGCTGGTATATTGAGTCGGACGAACATTGAGTTCTCAGTGGCAGATCCGGTAAGAAAATAATTTTTTAGAGTACAGTGGTGTTCTGCTCGCGCTATAAAGCAAGTTCCGAGAATTTTAGCGCGGATAAAGTGATTTGAGCTGCCAAAAAATGAACGTCGCTAATTTTAAGGCAAAAAAAAAGCAAATCGCGGCGACCGATTTCTTGACCAATTTTGAAGAGAGAATTTTTTATCGGTTTGTCGGGAAAATAATGTGGATTTGTCGCAGTAAAATTTCTCACCATCAAATCTCCAGCTGCGGCTAGGAATTGCAAAGCGATAATGAATTCCAGATTGTGACAAATCCACATTATTTTCCCGACATACTGATAGAAAGAGATTCGTTGAAGTTCATCCAAAAAATGGGTATATAAAACTAAAAAAAACCATTTACAAAAATGCGTCTTTTAGCCTGAAGAAGTCGTAAATTTGAGTTGCCAAGAAAACCATTTCATTTTCAGCGAATCGCCGTCGGGGCATTTCATCTGCTCGGCTCGCAGATGGTGATCATGATCACCTACAGTTGTGTGATCTACAGCTGCTTTCAAATCTACAAAATATTGAAGAATGAGGCGTCTTCAATGTCGGCACTGACTCGAAAAGCCAATAAGAAGTTGAATCAGGTCATGATCATCCAGGTAAATGAGAAAACTCAGTATAACGAATTTCTTATTCATTGTATATTCGTTATAACGCAGCTTGGCCATAACGAACAACCCAAAGCTTTAAAAATCAATTTTTTGTCCGAAATAAACCTCTGTGCAACAAAACCCTCGTATAACAAATATTTTTTGGTCATAGAAATTCGTTGTACAGAGGCTTCACTGTATTTTGTAAATAAGTCACCAAAATTTCATCAAAATCAACACTAATTTCCGATTTTAGGCGCTCTTCCCCTTCATCCTCATTGGATTTCCATTTGTCTTTGTCGTGTTGGGCACCATTTTCCAGCTGCAAACTGTATTTATCGCGGAATTAATGGCATTGTCGATTACCTTGTTGCCCATTGCTAATGCTCTAACATTACTGACAGTCATCCCAAATTATCGACGAAGATTCATGAGGATGGTCCGGGGAAACCACTACAAAGTCAATGGCAGCGTGTCAAGGCCTACTGCAACCTCCAAGATTTGAAAAATTTTAATAAATTTTCATTTTTGAAGGAAATTGGGATTTTTCCAACTTTTTCCCCTAAAAAATCGGCAGCTTCCCGCAAGAAAACCTCCAAAAATTCAAAAATAAATTTTGGCGGGAATTCAAATTTTCATTTTTTCGTCAACAAAGTTTCCATTTTTCCGCACGGTGCAGCGCCAAAACCATGTCGCAGGCGCTTTTGTCGCCGCGACAAGCCTTTTCTTCCGTGGCGAACTCCTTCTTCCCTTCAAAAAAAAAAGCAAAATTCATCGCGACGACACCAGCGACAACCCATTTGTCGCGCAATGTTGACCTTGCGACATTGGCGACAAGTCAACTTCCGGGTCTTGTCGCTTATTCTGAGCGACAAACATGAAGATTTGTCGCGGGGTTGTGGCGATTTGAGGGGATCGCGCGCGCGACAAAGCTTTTTCGAAAGGGAAGGGTGCGAAAAAGGGGGAAAAGCCAGCTTTGCGGCTGTCGGCAAGATCAAAGGGGCTGTTGGGTTCTTTTGGAAAGCGCAGAGAAAGAGGGAAGGTGCACAGCGCCAAGTGGGAAAAGCAATGAAAAAAGCTGATTGCACTGTGCAATGAGGAAAAATTAACTTTGGGGTGCGCACCGTGCAATTTACGATTTTTGAAGAAAACGGAAAAAATCACAAGATCCTTGGTAAATTTGAGGAACTTTTTTGAAAAAATGCGTCATGATGACGACTTTTTTCATAAAGAAAAAATTTTGCCAAAAATGTTGGTCTCAAACATTATAAATTCGCCAAAACTAAAAATTTTATCAAAAAAATTTTTTAATTTCTAAAAAAAACTTGCTAAGCCAACAACACACATAATTTCACCGTCTAATAGCACTTCATTTTCTTCATTTTCCTCGAATTTTAATAAAGCCTCCATTTCCTCGTCCAACTCATATCGAGTGTCAACAGTAATTCATCGCCTGAGGGCGCGAGTTATTAAGTTTTTGAAGATTTCATTTGCCCGTCCCGCGGATTTGCCAAATCCGCGCGAGGATTAAAAGCGAAGAGTGCGCGAAAAATGGGCGTCTCCCACAATTTGCATCAATGAGGGAGGGAGAGAGTGTGTGGAGAGGAGAGAGTGGGCAGCTAAATTTGCTCAAGGCATACGGTGCCTTCGAGGCATAAGGCCCGCGGAAATTCCGTTAGTTCCAAAAGTTTCGCCTCAGGCCACGTCGCAGGCCATATTCGAAGTACAGTAAGTTTTTCGGGCTGAATTTTTGTAATCAAGGATGCAGTAGACTTGGCGTTTAGTATAAAATTATTGTATCATACTATGAAAAGTGTAGTAAACTTAGTTATAACTTTATTTAAAGAAAACTTACAACTTTGCAGTAAAAAATGTCATCAAAGCAGCCTAGACCGTCAAGCGGTCAGTTCAACGAACCACCTGCCAATTCAGAACCCGCAACTACAGCTTGGGTAAGAACAGTTCAAATAAAACCTTGTTGTAATCTCCCTTCTACTAGTCGCGACATAAAGTCCTGACACATTTGCACAGTGCATTTTGTTTTTCTTTCGGACCCGTCGCGGCAATTCCCCGTTTTTGCACTAGCGACATGCACTCTCGCGCGAGTTCGCCACTTTTCTCGCGCGCCACCCGCGACAAAATGTGTCAGGACTTTATGTCGCGACTAGTATCACTCTGTCGGGAAAATAACGGCATAATGTCGCTGCGGCGATCGCGTCGCTGAAATGAAAGCAATTCAATTTTATCGCTACACACTTCGATTTCTCAGCGGCGATGCGATTTTCGATGCGACAGAGTGCTCATTATTTTCCCGACAGACTGATATACAAGTGTTTACACTATTGTCTGTTCAAAAATCCCAATTGAGATTTTCAGGTAGCCCGTCCAACCGGCAGTACGCAGACCCCACAACAAGCCGAGGTAATCCATTTTCTAACTTTATCTGAACTCTTTTTCAGTTCGTTTCAACGAGTATTGTCCCATTCAACGGCTACACCGGCCCCAATTATCTCAGCTATCCCTTGGAGTTCGCGGACACCTACAACACCCAAAATGGATTCTTCCCTTGCGCCACACTACCGTATGCTCTGAATTATCAGGCAGAGGGCGTGCAGAGAGTGAAAACAGATGAACAAGAAGAGGAAGTCTCGGTGAGATAGGGCGTTAAAAACACGTTCTATAATATTATTCAACACTAAAAATCGTATTTTAGGATTACTCCGGGAATTCCACTGATGACACTTCACGAAGTCCATCAACGGATTCGTCGAGAAAAGGTGGGACTTTTGAGCCAAAAAATCACGAATTCGGAAAACTATCTAATCAGCTACATTTTGATATTTTTACGTCTATTTTAGTGTTTTTGATGCTTGAAGCAGAATGCCAGAAACGGCGGGAAAACTGAAATTTAAATTTTTCTTGGCTAATTCACAGAATACATCATTCTTAGTGGTTGTAAAATACTTAATGCCGTATATCTATGTTGTAAATCGTAGGACTACACAATAGACGCCGTATTTTAGGCAGAAAGAGATTTCATTTGACATTTCAACGTCTAATCTTAGCGTTTTTGAAGCTTGCCACAGAATGCCAAAAATGGCGGGATAACTGATTTTTTCTTGGCTAGTCTCACATAACAGGCTTTTATTTTGATATTTTTTAGTTGTAAAATACTTACTGCCTTATATCTATGTTATGAATAGTTGTACTACACAATAGACGCCGTATTTTACAGAGAATCCAACATATTATGCCGAAGTGAAGCCTCTTCCCTATTCATCCATCGCGCCTCACGGTTACGTTTCTCGATCTCCATTCGAAACGTTTTGCACTGTTCCTGGGCGAACCAGCTTGTTGAGTAGCACTACAAAATACAAAGTTACAATTGGCGAGATTCAACGAAGAATCAGCCCGCCGGAATGCTTGAATGCCAGTTTGTTGGGAGGGATTTTGAGAAAGTAGGCTGGAACAGACTGATTTACAAATAAGCATTTGCAGAGCCAAGTCAAAGGATGGTGGAAAAGCGCTACGGGAATCGTTGAGGAGGATTGGACTCACATTGCCAGCGGGGCGAAGGAAGTCGGCTCATGTTACGGCACTCACGGCTTTGGTTGAAGGTAAAATACGTTCTGAACCAGCGTTATAGTAGGAAAAGAAGACTTTTAAAAATGATAATTTGTAAAATACGCTGGTTAAGCATTGGTATGTATAATTAAAGCCATACGCAACGACATTAACTTTTAATTTTGGCCGTTAGAAAATCTCTGAATCATAAAAAGCGCGACCACTCGCATATGGCGCAATTTTTTCGCCCTATGACGTCACTTATTCCCTCCTTTTTTATCGCAGTGTCCTGAAAAATCCCTCCAGTTCACCAATTTTTCTCCCGTCCCTCCGTAGCGGGGGGACTAATGCGCTGCCTTAGCAGCCTTTAAAACAGATGGGTTCGAGTCCACACTCACCCGAGGAGGCCTAACCCTCCCGCTCTGTGGACCACCATGGTCCTGACGTCGAAAAATCTCCCCGGGTTCTACTACTCAGCTAGTAGTTTTGCTGTTTTTTATTATGTAGAAAGCTTTGTTGTAGAGGTTCATTTTGGTCTAAAATTGATTCTAGGGAGTTCTGAAGCTGTTCGTATGGACAGGGTTTGTTGTACAGGAATTTATCGTCAGGTTACAGCGTATTATCAGCAGACATGGCAACCGGGCCGGGCCGGGCTTTGGAAATTTTGAAAACGGGCCGGGCCGGGCCTACATTTCATCGGGCCGGGCTCCGGGCTCGATGTTTTTTTTCGGGCCCAGGCTTCGGGCCCAATGGTGCCAAAAAAAGCCCGAGGCCCGGTTGAAAAAAAAATTTTTTTTTGTCTTGAAACGAAAAATTGGGATGCCAATTTCGTATTTTGGCATTGTGTTACTAGTTGAATTTTTAGCTCTGAGAAGGTGATAAACGTTTCTTATTGTTAAAAACTTTGCTAGAAACAATAAAATAACCTGAAAAAAACTTTAAAAACTTTAATTTTCGTCCAGTTTGGCCAATTTTACACAATTTTCAACGCTAATTTTACCTAAACTATTTTTTAATGTTAAATATACCAGTTTCTAATAGTCTAATCATGATTGATCATGACTATAGCGCTTGGTTCTTTGCCATAAGTGTTCAGGAGCCCCCAAATAGGACCCTCAACCCCGATTAATTCAAGGATTTCATCTGATTGTCATGGATAATATAATTTCTCCTCTAAACTTTTCTTCTTTGGTTTCTTCTGAATTACGACGATGGATTTAACAATTAAATGACCCAGACGACGTTTTTAGGTTATACTCCTGACAGGTATACCTATGGTTCAATTTTCGACCTTCAAAAAAATCATGTTTTTATCAAAAATCATGAGAATGTTTGAAAATTACGATTACGAGATCCGAATCTTCAATGCTTATACTTCTTTCATTGTAATAATATGTTTCCAATATCTCAACGGTCTCTACGACCCCGAATTCGTCCTAGTTAAGATAAAATCATCATGAATAATATCGAACAAAAATATAAAAAACGTCAAAATTTCCATTTTACACTTGAATATATGTTCTAAACCACAAATATTCTACCTCCTTGAGGAATTCCAAACATCTTACGTTAAAAATTGGAATTACGATTTTTCTACCGTAATCCACTTACTACAGTAAAATATTTCATTAGGGTTGAAAATGCTTCAAATTTTGCATGGAGTATTCTTGCATCCTGACAAAACATTCTGCCAAGTTTCATTCAAATCCATCGACCGGTTCCAGAGTTATGGAAGATTTTCTTTTACCAAAACTCCTTTTTTGAACCTCCAAAATCGCTTTTTCAACCCTATAGTAACTGCTGGGCATTTTTTGGATACTATATCTCAACTCTAAGTTGACCGATTTTTGATTTTTAAAAAGTATTTTGACTAATTCGAGTACTGCGAGCAACCTTATGACGTTAGTTTTTGGCCTAGTTGGTCACATATGGCCGAAAACACAATGCCAAAATATTGCCAAAATGGCGGGAAAGTGGTTTTTTGAACGGATCTTGACGGTTCCATGATTAGAATAGTTTGAGAAGCGCATGTGTAGCAATATCGCGTTGTTTTTTTATTTTTCACGCATTACTGTGGTAAGATATTCCACTTTCTGATTATAAATATGAGATTAAAACTTTTAGCGTGAAACACCCTCAGCATGCCATGAAAAATACAATTTTTGAAGTATAACATCTTGAGTATATACTAAAGCCACAACACACAAAAATCCGTTCAAATTCGATAAAAACCACCGTTTCCCGCCATTTTGGCAATATTTTGGCATTGTGTTTTCGGCCATGTGTGACCCACTAGGCCAAAAACTAACATCATAAGGTTGCTCGCAGTACTCGAATTAGTCAAAATACTTTTTAAAAATCAAGAATCGGTCAACTTAGACTTGAGATATGGTATCCAAAAAATGCCCAGCAGTTACTATAGGGTTGAAAAAGCGATTTTGGAGGTTCAAAAAAGGAGTTTTGGGAAAAAATAATCTGCTATAACTCTGGAACCGGTCGCTGGATTTGAATGAAACTTGGTGGAATTATGTTTCACGGCATGCGGATTCTCTGTGCAAATTTTCAAATCTCTCCGTCCATCTTACTGTGAATTACCGTAGTAGGTGGATTACGGTAGAAAAATAAAATTTTTTATTTTTTGTGAAGAATGTCCATCAGTCCTTGAGGAATGAGAATATGTGTGAATTAGAAGTAATACTGAAGTTTGATATTGATTTTTTGACGATTTTCTGACTTTTTCCCGATATTATCCATGATGATTTCTTCCGAGCTAGGGCGAATTGGGCGGGGTAAAAGGTCTTGTCACGTTCAAGATATAATAGGAGTCTAAGAAACACAAAAAGATTGACGATTTAAAAATAATAGTCATCATTGTTAACCATTTTTGTGATTTTTGATGATTACTTGATTTTTTGGAAGATCGAAAATTGAACCACCGGCACGAATGTCGTAATAATAAATGAGAACCTTCAGATATGCTATTTGATTGCAAAATCAGCCGTTGGAATCCCGGAGAAAACAAAGGAAAAAAGTTGAGGGGAGAAATTATGTTATCCATGACAATCAGATGGAATCATTAAGATTTTTAATTTTTAAAACGTATTTAGGCTCATAAAAGTACTGCTAGCAACGGCATGAGGTTATTTTTTGCCTCGCTAGCTTAAATACGGTAAAAAAACACAATGCCAAGCTGGTGCCAAAAAGGCGGGAAACTTTTTTTTTTAATTTTGAAAAATTACCGGGCCGGGCCGGGCCGGGCCTCGGAACCTCACCGGGCCGGGCCGGGCCGGGCCTCGAAAATTTTTTTTCAAAACGGGCCGGGCCGGGCCGGGCTTCAAAAATCCAGAAAACGGGCCGGGCCGGGCCTACATTTTACCGGGCCGGGCTTCGGGCCCAGGGGGGCAAAAAGCCCGGCCCGATTGCCATGTCTGATTATCAGTCTGTCGGGCAAATTATGAGTACAATATCGCTGAACCGATCACGTCGCTAAGGTGAAAAGCGATTGGTTTTTGCCGCGATCATTTGGATGCGACAGAGCGCTCGTAATTTTCCCGACAGACTGATAACGCGCTGTAACTTCATGATGAATTCCTATACAACAAGATGTTTCTAAATGCAATTTTAGACCCAGCGAACATTTTTTTCAAAACAGGCCCAAACTCGAGATCCCTCAGTTTAACATTCCAAAAGACTATGTTAAATAATCGGTATGGACATGAAAATTAGATGGCTCAGACAGAACAACACGGAGAATTTTATGGTAGAATAATCATTTGGATACAGCTTAATGTTTTCGCGTCAGGACCCAAAAAACGTTGAACTTTCTTTTGTCACCCTGTTTAACGAATTTGCTATTTTCGTTGTACAGAGGTTTGACTGCACATAAAACAGCAAATAACCATTGTAATGGCTTCATTATTTATTATCGCACCTTCAGAAGAAGCGGTTCACATGGCGCGCGACTTCCATTCCGTCTGCGAACGCGACTTCCCCGCCAAAGAACTGGCCGCCTTCCTCTCGCGCAACATCTCCACCGAAGAGGAGGCGCAGAACCGCCGGACCATGCTCCATTATGTTCGAATGTTCATCAAAGAGCTCTCGGATTTGATGAACTCGGACAGAAGTCCGGTCTGTGCCAATCGTCCCGATATTATTCTGGACCCTGTGATCCAAAAACCGCTGACGCATTTTTCGATGGTAACTCATGGATTTGGCGGCCTGGTGGTGGTCTCAGTGCTCGATGCGTTGAATGCATATGTTCATGAGTCGATGAAACATTTGGATCGGACTTTTGGACCACCCAACATTTATCCCAATCAACATGGATAATACGTATAAATCGAAGTTTTGTGGTGTACACAGTGCTAGAAATGACTGTAAAATATAACAGTAACTCGTAAACGTCGAATAAATTAACTTTCTATTGCAAATATTCCTCATATTTTTCGTACCGCCCACAAGGTTAAATTACAGTAACTTTTAAAATACGACATAAATATTGCACAGTGCAACTCCAAAAATTAACCTGCACTGTGCATCGAGAGTTTAGGAGGATTGCACTGTGCAGTTCGCCATTAAATAAAAATTGCACAGTGCAGAACAGAAAGCGACAAATTGAGGAACCGCGGAAAGTTGATTCCGCACTGTGCAGCCAAAAAAATGTGGGAGCTGCACTGTGCAGAGAGCAAAGCGACAAATTAAGAAACCGCACAGTGCAAAATGGCGAAAAAATTTGATGCACAGTGCAGCGGGAATCTTTTTGGGAACTGCACTGTGCAGTCAAAAATTTTTCGAATTGCACCGTGCAAAAAGCAAAATTTGTTGTAAATTATTGCTCAAATAGTAATAACAAGGTTTCGTTGTAATTTCAGCATCCGAAATCATGTTTTTTCCTTGTTTACACATCTTTTTTCCATCAATTTTTTGCATTTTTTCACGGAACCGTTTCCTTTGCCAATTTTCTGATCGCTTCTCCATTATTTTTGTTCGAAAAGCTCTTTTGCTTCCAACTACTGTAATTTTACACCGATAAGCGCAACATTTTACACTGTTCCGCCACCAAACCGTTCGGATTTTCGCGATGAAGGTACGAATTGAGAGGTCATTCGCTTCCCATTGTAATAAATTTTCTTGGCAATCAGAGCGACGAGAAAAAAGCTGCAAAATTTTTATTTTTGTACGAGAGAAACGAGTAAATATATATTTCGGGGGACAGGCGACAAAAAATTGGGGGAAAAACGGGATTTTTTGTTACAGCAACCCCAAAAAATGAAGAGAATATAATACAATTAGATGTGATAATGAGCTTAAAATGCGATATACTGGGAAATAACTGATTTTTTTGATCGAAAATTTCGAGTTTTTGCAAATTTTTGATGATTTTTGTCCGAAAAATTGTAAAAATCCAAATTTCCAACAAAAAATCAAGATGTAAAAAGTTGTAGAAACAATTTTCCGACAGTCTATTACATCTGCTTCCCAGTATATCATATGAAATACCAAAGTTTTCGGGTTAAATTACTATTTCGGCGGTTCGGCCGCTTTGCGTCTACTGCAATATAATCAACGAATAATCAACGAACGGACTACACAACTAGCCTAGCCTACAACAACAAGATTGTCGCGAAAAATAAGAGGAGGCGGTCTGAGGAGCGTGAGATCAATGGCAAGATGGTTATGTTGTACATGCGATTCAGAGTTCGTTCCGACCCAGCTGCCCGTTCGCCATCACGTTGTCCACGAGCAGCAGGACCGCGTGCGAGAGGGTTTTGAGCTGGTCGTCGAGCTGAAAAAATGGAACTTTTTGGGGTGAAATGAGGGGAAAACAGAATGCCAAAATTGGCGGGAAAAATGAAATTTGAATTTCTGATTGCTAAGTTCGGCGCTAAAATCAGATTAATTGTAAAATACGTCATTTGGAATGTTTTTGTAAATCATTTTAGAAGGCTTGAACAGAATGCCAAAATTGGCGGGAAAATTGAAATTTGAATTTTCGACGGCTAACTCGGGTGCTAAAATCAGAATAATTGTAAAGTACGTCGTTTAGAATGTTTGTTTCGTTCCAAACCGTTTTTAAATCATTTTTAGAAGGCTTAAACAGAATGCCAAAATTGACGGGAAAATTGAAATTTGAATTTCTGATTGCTAAGTAGGGTGCTAAAATAAGATTAATTGTAAAATACGCCAGTTTGAAATATTTTTTTGTTGCAAACCGTTTTTTAAAATCATTTTAGAAGACTTAAACAGAATGCCAAAATTGGCGGGAAAATTGAAATTTGAATTATTCCGATAAATTTTCTGGTTCAAGCATTTTAAAATACGTCATCAAATGATGGATGTAGACCAATTTTGAAGGTTTTGTTATCGTTTTCAAGGACTAAAACGGAATGCCAAAATTGGCGGGAAATTTTTAATTCAAATTTTTTGCTGGTTAAAACCGTTGAATTGGCTATATAAAGCCAAAATGGTGCCCTAAAGTAATTTTTTTTTAATTTTTTGACTAATTTCAACACTTCTCAACGCCTATAACACAATGCCAAACTTTGGCGGGAAATTTGAAATTAAAACATTTCATGGTAAAATACGTTGTTGTTAATTTTGAAGTTGTCCTCTCATAATAGAGCTCTTACAGGTTTGTAGAAGAAGCACTGTTTGGGGTCTTCATCTTCTCCATCCGGACAATCCACAATATGGTCGCAGAGTTGTTCCCTGGAGATGCAGACATCGTAGCGATGTGTGTTTCTGGACGGGCAGAGAAGCTGGTCTTTCCCATGCATCGGTGGACAGCCTGAAATTCACTCATCTTTGAGATTTTTTCAAAATTTTGGACATTTTCATGAATTTCCAAAAAATCCGTCATCCTATCGGAAATTTTGGGGGTTACAGGGAAATTTAAGATATACAAATTTTGCTTAAGGTAAAATACGACCATATGGACTCTGTGTTTAAAAATTTTCGGCGACGTCATCAAAAATAAAGGCGTCATGATGACGGATTTTCTGGAAATTCACGTTTTTTTCGAGATTTTGACTGTTTTTCGCGGTGAGTTCGCCTTTATGTAAATTGGTAGACTTTATTCGACCATAATAAGTCAAAAATTTTGTCTGCCCACGCCTTTTTTATATTACACTAGCCATCTGATCTCCATCCCGCACGTTCCACCCCACACTCTCTCATTCCATTTTCCCAGCAAAACCCGCGGATCGTAATGGCTTGTTTACAGGCTGCGGCGCAGGTCATTCATGGGGAAATAAACGTTTAGCCCGCAAACTGGTTCGCAAACTCAACTCTTTTTTTTGGAAACGAAAAATGGGGAATTAATTGACAATCTTCGGCGGTAATTGATTCGACGCGACGCTGATGACCTTCATAATGTTTGGCGGGCTATTGGGATCGCTGTTTCGCTTTGATTTCCCCCGTCGTTTGGCTGCATTTGACGGGGAAAATTGAGGTGGAAAAACGGGATTTTTTGAAAAAAAAATTTTTTTTGTGATTTTCAAAATGAAATATAGAGCTCAAAAATCAGAAGCACATAGAAAGCTGCTCGTATTTTACCAATAAAATATAAAATTTTCAAAAAAATCAAAAAAATTTTTTTTAAAAAATATATCGTATTTTACCCTCAAAAATCACCAAAAATGCATCAAAAAGTATCCCAACGCCCCAAAAAAAGCCTCACCTTTCCTCCGCCTTCGGTGATGATGTCCAACAGCCGTCCAGTCACTGTATCTGGCATGTCGATGATGCCTCGGAGATGCGACATCCTCGTCTAACGCCGAACTGGACGACCTGAAAATTACAAACATATGATTTTGGAGCTATTTTCATTATTTTTTGAGTGAAAAAAAGAATCTTGAAAAGACCAGCCAAAAAGGAATTTTTTTGAATTTAAAATCATCATGTTTCGAAAAATTCTGCATAACGCGGTTTAGAATTTTTAGGGATGGTGTATAAATTCTTGAGCTACACTTTTGCCAAGTTTCATCAAAATCAGCCGTCTTTTATTTTAAGATTTTTTGAATTTAAAATCATCATATTTCAAAAAATTCTGCATAACGCGGTTTGAAAATGCCTCAAATTCCTCAAAAAAATTTTAAATTTAATTTTTTCCAAGTTCTATTCAAAATAAGCAGTGTTTAATTTAAGATTTTTTGGCCGGAAAAACCTCTATTTCTCGTTTGTTTCTGCATAACGCGACCTGAAAATTGTCAAAAATCTTTAAAAAATCATAATCTTCATTTCCACCAAATTTCGAAAAAATCCCTAATTTTTTTGTTACAGTACTTTAGATTACTTTTTCTCTGAATATTTTTTGTTGTATGTCCGCCTACTCCAAAACTTTTGTCTCAAAATCCGTCAAAATTTGATTTGTTTTTTTCCCGGAAACATTGGCCCATAAACCCACACATCACTTCATGGCCAGTTTCGAATCCCCAACGGGATTTTGTACTCGAAAAAACTTACGTAATGTCGGCGCGCACACGGAAAACTCCGCGCAATGAGTCGGAGGGCTCTTCTTCCGGGTGTGGGGTCTGAAAAAGGTACAACAAGTTGAGTATGTCATCATAACGTGTTTTTCTGAATTTTGTTGGCAAATCGTATTTTAGAGCATCTGTGTTGGTCAGTGGCGTATTTTAAAATTGGCAAAATTGTATTTCAAATGAGATGAAATTAGAGGTTACGGCCAAAAATTAAAACTAAATGTGTCATCATGACGGATTTTATGGAAATTTGCAAAAAATGGCCTAAAGTGAGTGAAACCGTTGAAAATAATATTGAAAGATACTTTTAGAGCATTTTAAATCAGATGAAACTAAAGGTTATGGCAAAAAATCAAAACTAAATATGTCATCATGACCGATTTTTTGGAAATTTGCAAAAAATGGCCTAAAGTGAGGGAAAACGTTGAAAATCGTATTGTAAAGGTGTTTTGAACAAAATAGAAAATTTTCGCACTCTAAATTTAGGGGTAAAATACGGCTACCTTTCTTTTTTTTTCAAAAAAAATTTTTTTTTTCAATTTTTCCAAATTTTTTTTTGAAAACAAAAAAATACCCCCAAACATTCAACTCACCGTGGTATCAATCTTTTCCACCGTCTTTTCCACTCTATTCTCACTGATCTCCTCCTTCAAGGGCAACGAACCGGGCCCCAACATTCGTTTGATGGCCTCGTCGCTGTAGGTCTCCAGCGTCTTCTTAATCGTGTGCAGCGCCTGCTGTTTCCGCTGCTGAATCTCCGTGGCGTTGGGCGGCATGGTGGCGCAGCAAATGAGGGGCGCCAAAATGCAGAGCAGGGAGAGGATCGCCCGTGGACTGGGCCCGGCGCCAAGCGAGCGCCCGCTCATCGAACTGAAATCCGCATTCACGGCGCCTTCAGCGTCGCCGGCGGACTGTTCTGGGACGGGTGGGAGGGGTGGGAGGAGGAGGACTGGCCTGGCTCGCGAAGCGTCTGAAATGCAATAGTTTAGGGCTGAAAGGCCATTTTTATAGCGAAAATTTCACGTCCTTATTAATAAGTCAAGTGCAAGATAAAAAATGACGATAAAGGTGAAAATAATAACAAAGCTAGACAAAACAGGTGAACGGAACGATATTATGGGACATAAAACGTATATATATATGTTTTGAAGCTGAAATTTTATCTGTTTACCGGAAAATTCACTTTGACATTAATACCTCATGTACAATATAAATCTGATGATAATGGGAGGAATTTAGTGAAAGACGATAATTTAAATAAACAGCTAGTTAACAGGACCCTCTCAGCGTCTGGAAACATTTTTTTATACCTCTAGTTGATCACATCAGACCAGCAAGAGCACGCGAATATTAAAGTGGAGGTACAATATAAATCAATGATAAAGTTTAGAATAGTGATAAAATTGGTGAAATAGGCATCTAGCAAGACAATACATGTCTTGAAGGCTCAGTAAATTTAGGTCTTGAAGCTGAATTCACATTTTTACAACGATAAATCCTCGTCCATATTCATATGGCAAGTATAATATAAATTGACGATAAAATGCAAACTCCGCAGGATAATGAGAGAATACGCAAACTGGCAGCTAAATAAGGGCATGGCGGGTCTAGAAACGGATGGGTCAAAGATATAAAGGCCACATCTATCTGCAACGACAGTCTGATATGGATGTAGCAAGTACAAGATAAATTGATGATAATGACCAAAATTGGGCCTAGATTAACGGAATAAGTAAATCCGACGCTAGCTTGGTCCATAAAACATCATGACAGAAGGTATTTAACACTGTAATCATATGATGTCATCAAAAAATTGTGTCAAATTCAATATGGCATGTACAATATGAAATGGTGATAACTGGTGAAATCCTACCTACCCATCAGAAAATACATAACTGAGAGCGGCTTCATGATCCCATCTTGAAGAATAAAAACCGAATTTTCATTTTTTCGCATTGGATCACAGGTAAAATACGGTTTCCTCAATTTTGATTTTTAGTCATCACAGAGCTTTAGACTACAACCTCCATCTCTGACAGGGCTATACAAGGAGTATAGAAACATCAAACAACATTTCCTTTGATTCAAAGCCAAAATAACAAAAAAAATAAAAGAAGGGGCTCTTCAGAACGCCTCCAGAACATTGCTTGACGTCACTGGCAAGAGTAATAAAAGAGAGTGATGTAACAGACTGAAACAGTCTGTGATTGAAACATTTGGAAATTTTGTCTGGCCGACTTTGAATCCAGCTATGTTTTCAAGCTTTCTAAGGCATTTTTAGACCCTTAGATCGCGTTATGCAGAACAAAAAACAGCAGAATTATGGAGGCGTAAAGGTCTAAACATCGCGTCTTTTTTCCAATTTTTGAAGGGAAAAAAGATGATAAATTAAATTTATACATAAACAGATCAAAATAAAGAAATTCTAGGTCATTTCTGAAACTTTCAATTTAAACCGCGTTATGCAGAAACAACCGCAATCCATGTGGTTTAAATTCAAAAACTTTCAACCAATTTTTCTGAAATGTTTCGGAAATGAAGACTAAGACTTGATGAAGCACCTCGAAGAATTTTAAACCGCGTTATGCAGAAACGACAGAGTTATAGCAGTTTTCTTTAAAAAAAGGTTGATTTTTGCCGTTTTTCGGAATCAAGGCAGTTTTTCTTGCAAAATATGGGCAAAAAATTTTTTTTTCTCGCCAGGAGCAGAGTTTTTACACAGTATTTAGAGTCTTACGCAGTAATTTTCAAAATTTCAAAATATTTTTTTTTCAAAACTTTCCCCTAAAATCACTAAAAATAAAAAAATTCTGGCCAAAAATTGCCCCCAAAATTCGTAAGCCCCCTAAAAAAATTTGCGTCAAGGTCAGACGAATCTTTTTACGATAGTAAAATTCCCTCCGGGAAATCCGTAAAAGCCCCAATCCGCGGGTGCAGCAAAATGGGGGGAAAGTCATTTTGTAAACGAAAAAAAACAGCGACCAAAAGCGATTCGGGAAGCGACGGGCGGGAAGATAAACACCTCTTTTGCCCATGAATACTGATAACAATCGGACCCAAAGTTTTGCGGCGAGGAATCAAACAAAAAAGTTGCAAAAGCCCGCAGGCGATCGAGCGAAAAAACGAGTGCTAAACCGCTTAATGCGAGAGAAGTTTTGATGGAGAGGGCGGTTTGTATAATAGTAATGAGTTTTAAACCGAAACGCAAATGATAAATGGGAAGACTGCACGGTGCAGTGGACTTTGAGAGGTTGTTGTACAAAAGCCCTGAAGGAAAAGATGTAAAAATTGAATCAGTAAGATGGATGGGGCAGTAATAAACACCGTTATTCTATTTTTGTGCTTCTGAAATTAACCATTTGCACTCTGCAAAAAAAATATTTAGACTGCACTGTGCAGTTTTCTTCAGAGTGTTGTTGCAGAAAACCCCTGAGGGTATAGACGAAAAAACAAAAACAGAAAGACAAATTGGGCAATAAGAAACATCGTTAGTCTATTTTTGTGTTTTTGGAATCAACCATTTGCACTGTGCGAAAAATATTTAAACTGCACTGTGCAGTGAACTTTGGGAGGTTGTTGCAGAAACCCCCGGAGGACATAGTCGAAAAAACCAAATCAGTAAGATGGATTGGGCAGTAAGAGATATTATAAGTATATTTTTTTGTTTCTGGAGTCAAAAATTTGCACTGTGCGAAAAAATATTTAGACTGCACTATGCAGTGGACTTTGGGAGATTGCTGCAGAAAACCCCTAAAGAAATAGATGTAAATATTGAATTGGTAAGATCAATCGGGCTGTATGAAATATCAGCAGGCTATTTTTGTGTTTTTAGAATCGACAATTTGCACTGTGCAAAAAAATATTTAGATTGCACTGTGCAGTTTATTTCAGAGTGTTGTAACGGAAAACCCCTGAGGGCATAAACACAAAAATTGCATCACTTAGACGTTTTCAACCATAAGAAACACAATAAGTTCATTTTTTGTGTTTGGTGTTAATAATTTGCACTGTGCAGCAAGGTTTTTGGATTGCACTGTGCAAAAACTTTCAGTCGTATAATTATGACGCTGGAAGGCGAAAATAAGAAAAAATCAATATATTTTAAAATAACAGATTGTAAAATACGTTTTTAATTGATGTTTGCATTTTCAAATTGACCCCTTCGCACTGTGCAAAGAAATTTTTAGACCGCACTGTGCATAAAAATACGGAACTTTTTGAACCCGGAAAACCTCTACATTATAACGATAAAAGTAGCTCATATTGAGAACTATATAGTCCACATACCATTCGTTCCCAGAAGCCCAAAATAAATTACCCCACACACTTTTTGGAATTCAATGAATTCGGTCAAGTAGAATGTTTTTTTTTTGGAAATACCACACAAAATCAGAGGAAAGGAAGAGGAGGAATGATGGATTATAAATTGTGATTGAAAGAACTAGGTGGGGTAAGGTGCAATGAAATTTAATTAGTGCTGTAATTCTACCGTAATTTGGAAAAAGTAAAGTTGGGAGTTTAACGATCAAAGCCCCTTAAGGCAAGATAATACAATTTAAAAGATGGTGTCTTGTCTTATCACTGAGTAAAATTAAGTGTTTTTGGCATTTCAAAATTCTTGAAAATTCCGCAGAGTGCAATGATTTTTTGGTTTATTTCGCACTGTGCAATAATTTTTGGGCCAACTGTAATCAAAAAGCCCTGAGGCAAGACAAAGAAAAAAATGTTTTATTGCATCCTTTTGAGTGTAGTAAACACTGTGGGAATTAAGTTTTTATTTTTCAACCACTGCTTGCAGTATAATTGCTAAAAATTGAAAAACTGCACAGTGCAAGAAATCCTAGCTAATTTTTATTGAAAACCCCTAAGGCTATAGTTATAAAAATCACACAGTTCGACGTTCTGGGCCACAAGAAAAGGCATGGATACATTTTTTGAAATTTTTATATCAAAAAGACCGCACAGTGCGAAAAAATTCCGACTGCACTGTGCAATAAATTTGAATGCGTCGCGTTCGGATTCTTCGAAGTCAAATATGTGAAATCGGCATTGACAGTGCTTACATAAGCTATATGAACTGTCTATAACATTTTTCAAATTTTCGGAATGAGAACTCCGCACTGTGCGCAAGTTTGTTTTCGACCGCACAGTGCAATGAGAAATGGAAATAAAAAAGAAACTCCAAACTGAAGACGTCTGTTACAACACAAAGCCGTTCTCTGTCTCCCCTGTACCCTTTGTATCATTTCTCCGTATAGTTTATGCTGAAAATTTCGGATTCTTCAACACGTAACTAATTTTAGTTTTAAAAATACGAGCCAAGCAAATTCGTAACACGTGATCTTTGGCAAAAAGGGCAATGCGATTTTGCGTGGAGGAGTTCAGAATAACAATTGTACAGAGCTTGCTCCGATTGAACCCACAAAGATGATTGATCAACATCAAAAGTACAGTTTTGCCGCAGGGAGGTTTTGAAATTGCAGCAGAAAATATTTTTCAGAGAATATTGGACATTTAGAGGGTTTCTGAGCAAAAAAAAAATGAAATTTGCAGAGAAATTGGCATAAAATTCGTCATAATGACGGATTTTTTGAAAGTTTTCAAATTGATGTCCTGGGGCTAGAATAGACAAAAAATAAATTTTTATCGATTTTTTCGACGAAAAATAAGACCAACTAGCCATAATTTTTGACATTTTTGAGTGAATTTGGACTTGAACCCATAATAAAAATCTTAAAAAAAGTTCAAAAAATAAGTGATTTTCAAAATTTCCAAAGTTCCAAAATCCACTGAAAGGCCTGCAAAGTCAGTCTAGACACTCTAACGACCATTACAACACTCAAAATCATCAAAAAAATCAAAAAAAAGTCATCTGATGTCATGTATAATATAAAAAAGCTCCCAATTCGCTTCCAAACCCCATTTTTGATCAAAAACTTGAACCCATCAAAATTTCGGAGACGCAGAGCCTCCTCCCTTTTCCTAAATTCATCAAATAATCATCAATTTAACGGAAAACTTCGAACTTTTTCGCGTGCCCCAACCCCAAAATTAGACACCCGCACCGAGAGTGAATTATTTCAATTAGCGCGGGTAAACAAACGTTAATTAAACTTGACCTGTTACACTCTCAACGCCAGACGCGATTTGCGGAATTCGAAGCGGCCGAGAGAAAATATTTGTCAAACATACTTGCCGTGGGCGAACATTTTGTTGGGTGGAGAAATTGATGAGGAATGTGGAAGAAAGAGAAGATTGCTGCAGGAAAAACATTCTCAGCATACCACAGTAGCTGTTTTGATGATTTTTTTATCGATTCTAGACCTGAATGAGGGCAAAATTTTAAACTCCCGCCATTCTTGGCATTGTGTTTCAAGTTGTGGAAAATTGGCAAAAATCGTGTAAATTGCAAGGTAAAGGTAGTAGAAGACTAACTACAAAAATTTTCCTTCGATTAATGCCTTCAAAACTTTAATAAAAATTTAAACTCCCGCCATTCTTGGCATTGTCTTTCAAGTCGCGGAGAATTTGCAAAAACCGTGTAAAATGCAAGGCAAAGGCAATAGAAGACAATTTACATTAATTTTACACCGATTCAAGCTTAAAAATTTAATAAAAATTTAAACTCCCGCCATTCTTGGCGTTGTGTTTCAAGATGTGCAAGATTGGCCAATGTCGGTTAAAATGCGAAATAAATGCACTAGAAGACTAATTACAACAAGTTTACTCCTATTCAAGCTATAAAATTTAACAACATTTTGAATTCCCGCCAACCTTGGCATTGTGTTCCAAGCCGCGGAGAATTCGCAAAAATCGTGTAAAATGCAAGTTAAAGGCATTACAAGACTAATTACATTAATTTTACTCCGATTCAAGCTTCAAAATTAAGTAAA